CCGTGATCAGGATCTTGGCGACGTGCGTCGACAAGTATATATATTTTCCCCACTTCCAGCCGCTTCCAGCTCCAAGCGGCAGGGTCCATCAGGGCCGATGGCTGCTGCTGTACAGCCTCCCCCGCCCCGCAAGGCCGCAGAGGGCCGCGCACCCCCCTACGGATACAAGTTGGCGGCGCTGCCAGCGGAAGAAGGGAAAGAGGGAGAGGGGGAGGGGGTGGAGAGGGGGGAAAGGGGGAGGGGGAGGGGAGGCTGGAGGGAAGACCTTGGCCGACACGGGATGAGCCACTCCAGCGCGCGAAATGAGAAGAGAGGTGTGTGCCTCGGAGTGGCGGGCGGCGCGCCGGGCGGGGCGCCAACGCGGCCGCGGAACAGGGGCACGAGGCGTGAGAGCGAGCAGGGGGAGGAGAGAGAGAGAGAGAGAGAGAGAGAGAGAGAGAGAGAGATTTTGCTACACGCTGGGATGAGCTCGAACTATATACACTCTCTATGGCTGCAAACGCATATTATACTAACTGGATTTGTATGAATCTTTTATTTCCAAATTTAAGAAATAATGTTTTTCTCATATTTCTGTATTACTTTGAACACGCATTTACATGTGCGACTTAGTGCACTCTCGAGTACGTACAAATTGTACGAAACGAAATGTAGGTTTACAACTTAGCACGAACGTTTGCACAGAAACATTTAGCGTGTATTTGCATCAGGCAGGACCGCGAGTGTTCTTGTCACAGAGGCGAGACGGGTGTTCCGAGTAGCCATCCAGTCAGTGGGCGGAAGGGCGGAGGGAAGAAGATGTGTATTTATAGAGACAGAGAGAGGGGGAGCCAGATTACGAGGGCGAGTACACAAGGGGCCGGCGCGCACAAAGGGGCCCGGGCCCCTGCAGTCGATGGAGTAGGCCACCCGCTGGGCGGTCGCGCGCGGCGGTCGCGTGTACTTCACTGTAAATTCAAGCGTAAGTTTACCGATTTTTCTCCGCTTTTACTCGATCTTTTAAGAAACAAATATTTGATTTTTTTTCTGTTTTTTCTTACTTCAGATTGTCTTTTCCCTGATTTAATTCTATTCTGTTTTTATCACTCACCTTCTTGCAGTAGGTCAGTACGTCCACCTTGTCCTTGAGGCAGGCCACCTTGCTCTCCGGATCGGTGGTCCAGCGGCCCTGGTCGCTCATGTACTGCGGGTGGAAGCTCTGGCCCTGGTCGCACAGGAAGGCCACCTGCGGCTCGAAGTGGATCGGCGGCAGGCTGTCCGAGACGCGCGTCGCATCCTGAGAAACAGGAAAGAGGAGAAACGCGTCAGACATGAGCAGCAAGCGGGGCGAAACAACAACAATGTGAACGCAGGAGCCTTGTGTGCGTCATCGTCGTGGTGGTCGGGGGCCGGGTGGCCGGCCGTCAGAGTTAACGAGGTTCGTGCTGATGGCAGTCGGACAGGCCAACCATGCGAGAGAGAGAAAGGGGAGGGGGCGCAGAGGGTGGGGCGAGAGTTGGCCGGATTATTTGGCCAAACAGGTCGCCGCCCCACTACTCTGTGCATAAGAAACTACTTCCATCCGCTACCCACCCCACCCCACCCCAACCCCGCACCTCACCCCAAACAACATCCTGCGGGCGTCGGCGCGGGGTGAAGGGAAAGTGGGGGGCTTCTTTTCGATTGGGAGCGGGGCGCCCACCCCAACCCTACCCCCCTGGCGCACAGCGGCACACGCCACGACACCCGGAACAATAGCGACCACCACCACCGGGGCAGCGGCGGCAGCAAGGTGCCGGGGAAAATAAGGGGGAGCGGGTGGTAGGGGGAATAAAATATAATAAGCACCTGTACAAAAGAACGAGAAAAATAAAACAAGCGAGGGAAATAATAATGGGGCGCGCGCCACTCCATCGCGACCGGGTCAAGCAAGTCGGAAACGTGTCGCTGGGGTGTTATTCAACGCTAAACAAGTGCGAACGCGACGACGCAACCGTGACAACCGCGGGGGGTGGCGCGCGACTGTGTCACCAGGGTGAGGGCGTGGGAGGAGGGGGAGTGGGGAGCAAAGTGCAAGAGGTGCACTCGATGTGGGTAGGGCTTCACCCCCCGGGCCAGAGGAGAGCAGCGTGGTGGTCTGCACGGAGGGGTGTGGGTGGGCATATTGCTTTGTAGGAATTTAACAGTGCACGCGCGCACGCACCCCGCGAGCACACCGAGCACCGGCGCACACCGCGTGCGCGCAGACCGGAAGCAGTGCGCCACCGCTGCGCCTCTCGCCCGGAAATTGCTTGCATACTGAATCCCCCCTCTCTCTCAACACGCTTTTCCCCGGCTGTTGCTCACTGCCTCTGCCAGTCTCTGCCTGGGGCTGTGCGA